CTGTGTGACGCAAAAAAAAGTTGCAAAATAATTGTGAAATTAACTAAAGTGACCAATTTTCAGCAGCTGCAGCTGAACGTGGCAGTTATATGAGTCAACTAATACATTCGACAGTATTTAAAATAAAAAATTTAAATTATATATACATTAAATATATCATTATGCAACTTTTAATCTCTGGTTCTGTCACCTAAATACATATATTAGTGACATGCTGGCCTTCTGACACTCAGGTACAGCAACAATAAGCTCTGTGCTAAGTGTACTTGAGTACTAGTAAGGGCCTCTGGAACATACAATTAATGTCAACACCAGTACACATATAGACACATGCACTAACACACATCCCCACTAGGGTCTTAGGACATGTCTATGCTTCTGCAACCATGGTGACCCTGCAGTAGAAACCACATATGTAAATATGGACACCCATCACAAACCTTTGATAGGGACAGTGTGTTTCTTATGAAAGATTGTTAACAGAAAGAACAGAGCTTTAAGATTGTATGTCTTGAATAGCTATTTCACTTCGAATGTGATCATATAAATGGTATGTTCTGTTAGTGTAGTGAGGATATACTGTACTTCTTTTAAGTTGTTTTTCTGTGCCTTTGTATTCTTTAGACTTGCTTTTTCACACTTGTTTGCTCACAATCTTTTTATAATGTCCTTAAAACTCTCCTCCCCCACCTCCCACCTCTGCATTTTTCCCACCCTTATCCCTTCATTTTTGCCTATTGCATTTTGCGTTCTTGCTCTTTCTTCTAACTACTCCTTCTCTCCTTCCTGATCTCTCTGTCCCTCTCTCTCACTTTCTCATCCCTCTATTCTGCCTGGCCATCATTTGTGTGCGGTAAAGCAGTGTCAGCATCAGCTGTGCATGAAGTAGGCAGAAAGAAAATGCCCAGATGAGTGTGTGTCTGAAAGGAAATACTTAAGTGCTTAGGAGTGGACACTAAGTGTGTGCGGGCCGAGAGAGGGAATGATCAAACATGGGAAAACAGCTGAGATCAATGGTTTGCAGGCCACAGCCTGAGATCAGTGACAACAGGATAAGCAACATGAGTCACAGACAGAGATAGAGGCGGAGGAGGGAGGTCATGTTTTCACACTGCACGATCGCCACAAGACACAATAGAGCAGATCCTCCACAGATTTTCCTCTCAAAGACCAAGAAGGCAAAAACATTCACTAATGTCATTTAAGTATACAGAAAAATAGATAAGTAGCAAGCTAACAGTAGAATAACGTTTTGATACAATAGCAAGAACAATGCTTTGTGGTTTGCCTTGATTTGTGTAAAAAACAAGGTGTTTTTGCTAATGTTTAAACAGTAAATCACTTTATAAACCAGAGTCAGGGCTTTCCAAATGTATAGTAGGCAAATAGCACCTCAGCTGTCTGATTGTGATGTAACAAATATTTCCCAAGTTTCAGAAGGTCATGATTGAAGATTGCCTCATTTTGAGACGGACAGGACAATGTCATGTTACCTTTCATAGGGCTGCTCGATTATGGCAAAAATCATAATCTCGATTATTTGGGTCAATAATTCTAATTGCGATTATTAAATGTGATTATTCATTGACTTTGAAAACATCCATTTATTAGAGAAATAAAATGTGAACAGTATGTTTTTAACAGTTGATTACCCTGAACTTTAAGTATAATTCAACTTAAAAAAAAAAAGTAATAATAAAAAAATAATCGTTTTATTTAGATTACGTTGTTTTCGTAATTGTTGCAAGCCATAATCATGATTAAAATACGATTAATTGAGCAGCCCTACTTTCATATCAGCCGTATCCCTCTGGGGCTAGTACTACCTGGGGTCCTCTTGTGAGTTTCAATAACAGCAGAGCCTGTCTGTGCTGTAATTTGGCTATACACAGGGGCCTCCTAATTATATTAGCAGGGCGCGCATCAGCCGTGCATTCATTTGGGCCTTTTCCCCCCAATGAGTCCTTGATATTCTGTTTCTCCTCTTCCTAAATTATAGAAGCTGCAGTGAAAGCATTAATGAGGACTCTGATAGCATTTTGCGTTGAAGTTGGGGTGGCTAATCTAGCAACTCAGCATGGGAACCCATTATGTTTTAATGATATCTGCAGAAACCTCCTAAGATTTGGTCATTTGGTAATCTATCCTATGCAAATGTGCCACACAAGACATAGGGGGGGGGGGGGGGTACATTCCTAAATCACATCAGGGCCCCGGGTAAATCAGTGCAGTCCAGGCATCAGCTACAGAAACTGTCACTTTCATCCTTTGTTTTCTCACGACTGTCACTTCATGACTGATGTGGCTCTTTGTAGATTCTTCATACAGCACTCTGTCTAGACTTTGGGAAATTTGAGTTTACAACCTGTCTGCAAGTAGCGTACTCTTACACCAAAGCAAAAAAAGCACCTTAACAGGGGATGTATTGTTCTAAAGCCCAACGAGTTAATACCACCAATGGCCACAGATTTATAAAGCAGTGGTGCAGGGCAAAGCATCCAATTCCCTTTTCAAAAAGTATATGCACAATGATGGCCTTGCAATTCAATGTACAAATAAAGCCAATATAAAACAACGGTAATTATGAAAAAGTGTCTAATGATGTTCTGTATTTTGTGTTAGTGCGGGTGTGTGTGTAGCTGTGGGGCAGACATAAGGGAATGGGGGATTTAGTTGGATTGAAGACACCAAGTTGACTCCTTGAGTCCGTCCACTCATCAACATTTCTCCTCTTCCCCTCTTTCTCTTATCCTCTCCCATAAACTAGCCAAGCTAAAAGTCTGTCCTGGGGGGTAAATAGACTGCTCCATCTTTCTTACCTTTTTCTTTATGTGTTTCTTTATTTTTCCTATTTTACTGTTTTCCAAATAGTAAAGACATTTGATAAATGTGCTATAGCTAGTAACTTATATGTGCTTGTGTGTTGATTAAAGACAGTCTGTGGATTAATTACAGCCCGTCCACACGGCGGCGTACGTTGAAGCTTCAACGCTTCTGCCCATTCACTTTGAATGGTGTGACGTCACGCTTTGCTGAACTGCATTATGGGAGCGTTGCTTCGCTTTGCTCGCTTCAAAAGTTGAGCAATGTTCACCTTTTGAAGCTTCGGCGGAAGCGTCAGCCAATCAAATCATATGCCAGTACAAGCTCTAGCCAATCAAACCGCGTGCTTGTGTGTCCGGGGCGGGAGATTCATGTGATTGGTTGTTGGTCGAGTTTAAGACACGCCCGCCGGCAAGCTTCAATGCACACCGCCGTGTGGACGCTGCGTTAGGGTCAATAACCTCAGAGCAGATTTGTGGATTTAAGAGTAAAAATCTACTGTAGGCTTCAGGCAAGAAAATGTGTGTTCAACAACACAAAGTCCTTTCACTGACTGTCTACATTGCGGTTATTAAATCATCCTGACCCTGGATGGTGACAAGTTAGTAAATTCTTCTCCCTGTGGAAATCTCGGCTGCGTTATAAACTACATTAACTATTTAGGCTTGCAAGCAACTAGTCATTATTTTCAATATTAATGAATGTACAGTAAATATATGTTTTAGAACAGTACCATAGGGGACGTAACGTATTCTTTCCTTGATCATGCACATGGTAAACAACACAAATATGTGCTGGAATCCAAGGGAGTAGAGCTAGCTTACATTAGCCGTTAGCAGCTGGTATCGCCATCCTTTTGAATTACATTAGATTCAAGATGTCAAAAGCTACAGTGTAGTGGTTGGCAATTAGAATCCCAAGTCCCAGGCTTCTTCAACAATATAACATACAGTATACTTAAGACACCAAAGAAATAAAGAAATAAAACAAAGCTATACAAGTAAATTATATATGTGTGAAATCAAACTATGTCTAGCCTTTCTGATGACTCTCTCACAAAATATCTATACAATATGGTCAAATGAGTGCCACTAGTACAGAGACAGAAACACTAGTAGGGTCTCATCGCTTGCCAAAGAATACATTGATAAAGCAGATGCTTGTTGCTGCAGGGCTTGAGTCCAGATCTTCCAATTGAGAGGCGGTCTCTCCTTAATCACTGCACCACTCTGCTCCTCCTGTTTTTACTACCAGGAGAATGTGCCATCAGAAATAATTAGAACACATTGAAGGTTAGAGGGATGCACTAAGAAAACTCTGGAGGCGGCGTCTTTAAACCAAGAGGATGACAAAGCCAATTTCAAGATCTGAACCCAGTGGCGTGTAGCTCCATTCCTCACAGACACGCAGAACTAACACATTGTGCTGGCTCTCCCTCTCTCTCACAAGTCAGACATGGGCCGTGTGCACTCCCCAAAAACCAGCAGTAACAAGGCAATCTGCTTTTCAACAGCTGGAGTTGCCCCCAAAAGAGAGAGGGAGAGAAAGAGAGGGAAGTCTCAGGGAGAATAGAGGTAGAGAAAGTGTGAACATGAGGAACAGAGAGAGGATGGAAACAGAGTATTAGAGAGTTCCATAAATAATCAATGCTTAGTCAACACAGAAAATGAGAGTGTGTGAAAGAACCAAGGTTTCCTCCCAATGCCAAATCCAAAAGGGAAAATTGCCAGACTCACACACGTCATGAATAAACAGAGCTGGGTCAAAATGAAAAAGAAAGATATGGGGACGGACAAAAAGATAGTCGGAGCAAAGGAGACAGAGTAAAATACAGAGAAGATGATAGAAGGAGATACAGAATTACATTTGGAAGACAGTTAGAAAGAAGCAGAAAGCAGAAGGAGTGCAGCAGGAAATTCCTTCAACATTTTCGCGACCTTTTGTCCTTCTCAAAAAACCGGAATATGACAATAATCCTTTTCCTATTTTTCTTTCTTTAGCCTCTCCTCCTTCGTTTTTCCTTCTTTCTTATTTTATTTGCATGGCTGTGTCCATGTGTGCATGCTGTGCATATCAGTCACATCATGACTAGATTTCAAATCCTCTGGCAGTTAGTCAGTGTTTTCTTCAGGGTTGTGTTACTGTAGTACACGCATGCGATAAGGACATGTTCATACCTCATGTCTTCCAGCAGGTCACATTCAGTCTGGTGTTTAAAGTGCAGTCTTGTCATCTGCTCTGCATGTGTGTTCTTCAGCTCCTGTGTCACTTTGACCTGGAAGAAACAAAAAGACACGTCAAGAGAAGGGGTTTGGCATTTGTTCATCCGTCTGCCGTGCACGTGGGTTAGCTATTTCAAGGCTCATATTCACCAAACTCATCCCTACAAGAAATCTTTCCATATTGATAATATCAATAATGAGGTATAAAACTAGATATCATCTGAGACTTTGGTGTATTTTTTAGGGATGCACCGAATATTCGGCCACCGAAAATTATCGGCCGAAAATGGTTAAAAAGGCCCTTTCGGCTTTCGACCGAAAGGGTTTTAGCACCGAAAAAATATCACCGAATGTCAGAACAGGCTTACGTTGGTAACCTAACGTGTTGTTGTGATGACGTAATAAAGACGCGGCGACCATGCTCGCGGCTGGCTCACAGGGGGGGGGGGAACATTGACCTTTGTCATCGAGATTGCCCTGAGCCTTTAACAAATCGTATTAAATAATCTGATGACAGACTGTAAACAGAATAGCTGACATTTTAACAAACTAAATAACTCAGTTTCCTCTAATCATTAACCCATGTTTGTATCATGTAGTTAACTCCGTGTGTAGCTGCTAGCATACATAACACCTGACGTGGAAACGTTACTCGTGGATGGGGCTACAGAGCTGCTAGAAAGACGGTCGAACCCGGTACATTCCTCCGTCTGCATGCGGTGCACTTTTGCTAAATGTTTAGACAAATGGTCGTGCTTACATGCTAAACTCTTATTGCACTTATGGTAACAAGTATTCTCCACATCGAGACGGGTCAAGTTTAACCACACCTCGGAGCGCGTTCTCTCCGCCATCTCCGCAGTGTGCTCTGCTGCATGTAGCAGCTGCGTGTGTGTAAACTGCCCCGCCCCCTCGCACACAGACGGGGGAGAGAGATCTCGTCTGATCGAAAATACACCATAGACGCATTTGTTGTCTTTGCATATTAGAAACGAGTTGGCGACACTAAGACTGCGATATCATGTTTTTTAGCAATAATACATGACATATATAAATGTACTGTATGCATTCAAAAGTGCTGAATAAATGTTTTATGGACCCATAATAGTGATTATTATTTAAGTTTTGCCATAATCATGTCTATTTCCATAATCAGGTAGCTGAACAACATTGGTAAAAAATGTATACATTATATATATATATTTTTCTATTAATCATTTTCGGCCTTTCGGCACTCGGTTTTCGGCCAACTGTTTCCTATTTTCGGTATCGGTTTCGGCCAAGAATTTCCCATTCGGTGCACCCCTAGTATTTTTAGTAGAAATGGTTGAGTGAACTGTGAATGCCTCTACCTGCCTGAAAGTCATATAAAAATTCCTTATTTATAAGGTTTGTTTTTCAAAATAATTGTCATTATTGATGATCTTTTCTTATGAATTGTCTTTAAAAAATAGAGACCTTGAACTATCAAATCAAAGATATTCAATCTATAATGAGATGCAACAGACACATGCAGTAAATGCAAACATTTAGCTAGAGACAGAATTGTTCTCGTCATCTGACGTTATAAACTGAATGATTATTAAAACAGTGGATTCTTTTGTTGTTGGTCCACTAATCAAATTGGTGGATTTCTATAAACAGTATTAAATCAAAACATCATAATTCTGCTGTAATTTATTTTTGATTAGTCCATATTTGTCTCAAAAAAGCTGATAGAGAAAGTCAGAGAAAGGTATTTTTAGCTCTGAGGTGCAGACTGTGCAAATGTGGCTTATATTCTTCTGAAGGACTTTCTTGCTTAGTATACCGATAGACTATTAGTTACTAAGAATTAGGCTACTGAATCACAGAAACCCACTTACACATACAAGGAGAGATAATTTAACTCCCATCAATCAATCTATCTGACAATCACAGTCGTCTAGCTTGAGTGTGCTCAGCTTGAGAGTCAAGTGAAAGGAACGGGCACACATTCCCATCAGTAATTCATTCAGCGTAACAATCAGTGTCTGGGTCATGTCAGACTTCTGGAGAGGCTGGAGGAGGTTTTGTGAAGTTAGAGGTGACTGAAGACACATTTAAAAGCCTATAACAGCATTTCAGCGCAGACAGACTCCATGTGCATTTGTGAAAGATGTGCTTTTTATCACCTTATATGAAAATCAATGTGGCGGATGAGAACAGTAGCTATAACCCTGCACTCAAAACAGTGATGTGCAAAAAAGACAGAGCGATAACCCCTTCAAATGCAGACAAACGATCACACATGCATACACTCCTGCCGACACGTACAGAGTCACTGTGTTGGTCATTGTGTATTGTCGGGTGAGTTCCATCGCCTATTCATCAGAGTAACAGTGGGCAAATTCATGACTGTTCTAGACACAACAATCAACAACATTACACAAACACATACACACACTTTCATGTGCTGTGTCTTTGAAGGTAAGGAGGGAGTGGTTCATTAAACTATCAGGGAGAAATGACATCACTTGATTTGACCTTCTATCACTCACAAGGGGAAAGAGGGGAAGGGCAGGGGTGACATGGGAAGAAACAATTAGAAATGTTGCTGGTGTTTGGCTGTGTGAAAGAGTGGGAGAATATGAAGTGAAAGTAAAGAAAAGAAGAGGGTGACAGTGACCGTGAAAAATGTGGGATATGGTGAAGTTAATTATGAGAAATGCAGTTTATTAAAGGTCATGTGAAAGGAGAAGAGCTCAGCTGGTGAAGTGGTACTTCGTACTTCGCTGAAAGAGTAGTTCCTGTTCCCACATTTAACAGTGATTCAAATGTACAACCTCAGCTGTTAGGGTTGGCTAATGAGTTCAAAACTCTAATATATCAGGAAATATTAAAATATTTGCCATGTACAGAACGTATATATTTATTATTTTATCATGATAGCCTACTTCTGTTATGTTCCTCCTGTTACATTTAAGTAAGAAATAAATACTGAGCTATTTGCTGTTTTGTTTGCAACTGCTGGTTGTAAGTAATTTGTTGTGTATTTTATTGTCCATTTGTAGAATAACAAGAACGATATGACCTATTTTGACACTAATTGAATACATTAAATTAGTCCAACCCTAGTAATATTATAACCATGATGAATAATGACGTAGATTAATACAAAAACTCCACAAGATGTGGTCTCCCAAACTCCTACCCCAGTTTGTGGCAATATTCATTAGCATATGTGATAGATTGATGGATGGGGCGGCTGACCCGCAGTGTGTGAATGTTAGTCTTCTCTGAGCAGGTGGCCCCATTGTGGCCGCCTTTGCCTGAATGTAGGTGAATGCTGACTTGTTATGTACAAGTACTTAGACAGGTCACAAAGACTGGAATAGGCTATATCTATTCAGTGCATTTACCATTTACCACAGATGGATTATACCAAACCAGCTCAGTCTGTAAGCAGATGTGCTGAGACAGACAACACACTAAGGGCTGTTTGTGTAGCACTGGGAGAGAAATTATTAGTATCCAACAGCCAAATGCTGATACACTGGCTGTTGTGCTGAAGGCTGTGTGTACTGAGTGCCAGACATATTGGCAGGGGGGTATGAGATCAGTATTTAGAAAATCATTTAGTTGTATTCTTGGAAGGATTTTCACAACAAACTGCATGGGAAAGATACATGACAGCTGACAAATGAGATCTAACAAAATCAATAATATAACTGTAATGGTGTATTTGATGATGACACGCTGTGGAGGAACACAACCATATTGGTCACTCCAGCCATGATAAAAGGACCTATTGAAGTGTGTATACAGTGTATGTGTTTACAGACATGATATGACATGTTCAAAGAAAGTCTGTGTGTGGAAACCCAGAGCATAAATGGCACTGGGGCAATATGTGGTAATTAAGAAAACCGTGCAGTGGTTCACAGCAGAGTAATTGGCTCTCATGCATCTATTTTAGGACACACACACACACTCCTAGAAAGCAATACACAAGCAACTTGCATATCCTCACATACACAACAGTGGGTACCAAGCTATAGGGGACTGTGGTCTTTTCTCAGCCCATACAGAATCAATAAGTCAGTATTGGACATGGCTCTGCCAGCATGTCTCCCTCAGTGTGTGTGTGTGTGTGTGTGTGTGTGTGTGTGTGTGTGTGTGTGTGTGTGTGTGTGTGTGTGTGTGCGCGCGTGTGTGTGCGCGCGTGCCTGTGTGTTTAGCTTTTGTCAGCTCAGCCTTTGAAGAAAATAAGTGACCCTGGACGGACTGAAGGTCTTCCCTTGCTTAACACATAAGCATCACAACGTGGTAGAATGGCAGCTTTTGTTAATGCTGCTGTAATAAATTAACTATAAATTAGCAAATGAATACCTGAGCTTCACTACATTGAAGTTAAATTGTAGAGAGTGGTAATGTCTATACGGTTACTAGCTTAAACGTTGCTGCCATAAGGCAACGTGCAGATGCTAATGTACATTTGCAATATTAATTTAAAGTTATTTCTACAACAGGGCGTTCTCTTATTAAAAGCCACAATATAACATTATCCTACTATCATGCTTTGCTTCTTTGTATAAAACGTCTCATATTAGCACACCTAGCGTTTCCTAGCTAACGTTATTTGACGTCTGACGGCTCGCGCTACACCGTTGGATAGATATTAATATCACTAGGTACTGTCTAACATAGCTAGCAAAAGCTGCTAATGGTGGCTATCAAATGTATTTTAATTGTTCTTAAGCCTGGAGCATTGGACGCTTTATGTATTGAAGGTAAAACACAACATAAGGTTACTACAGTACACACTGTATCTGTCTCTCATTGTCTGAAACATAACGGACTCCAGAAATCACTCACCTTCCTCGGCGGCGGCTGCATTTTGGAGTATTATTGACATGAATGGTATTTCCCTTGCGAGATGTATTGTCATTCCAAGAGGAAATCCAAAAATCAGTGGAGGACTATTATTGTGTCTCCTCAAACCAAAAATCCTCCCCTCCAGACGACAGGGAGGAAACACGGGAGTTAAATTTGTACTCCGGCGGCCATGATTGATGATAAATGGCTAGTTTGTACAGAGCTACGAGGAGAGACTGGACCCACTTGTGTTGGCTGCTGCCACTACCACAGTACTAGTGTGTACTGTACTGTGTTGTGAAGGAGGGCAGCAGACAGAAGAAAAGCAGAGGGAAAGGGATGGGGGAATATAATAGGGGAACCCCTTCCGCTACTAAGCTCAATAGCGCCTCAAAGAGGGGAAACTCAGAACCTGTCGGTGATGAAAAACACTGAGCAGAAATACATCCTTATTGTTTGCCTCATATTGCCTGTAACCTCGATAAAACCTACTCATATATGTTTTAAACCAAATAAGGGGACAAGATATATGATAACTACAATAAGGGACTATTTATCCAATGAGCATTAACATTTTTGTCATCCTCCTCCAGCCTGCTCGAGGAGAAAAGGCTGACACTGACAGGAGCCTGCGTCCTGCAGACCTGCATAGCAACAAGAATCCGCAGTCGATCCCAGAAAAATCGATCACGGAGTAGAATGAAAATCAATATTTTCAACAAAAAAAAAAGAGAGAGACACCTTTGTGTAAAAACGAACATAACATATTTGGAATTTGACGCTTTAGGTTGTTAAAAATAATGTTTCAAAGAAAGCATGTAATCCTACAGCTAAAATTATTTTGTATTATTGCCTATTATTGTATCAGTCCCTCGTCGAAATGAACACCAATTAAATAATAAAGCATTTATTATTTGTGGTAGGCTTGTCCATTTTGTGCTATGATTTAGCAGACTTGTGTAGAAACCAGGGAGTAAACAGGGTGAAATAGGGTCATGGAGTTCATTGGAAGTGGATGCTGAGTGAACAATTAAAGGAATACATTACAATGGAGGATGTCTCAAACACCCTCGTAATGAGTGGGCATCAGCAGATGCAGCTGGTGTGAGACAGTGTCTGCATACTTGTTTGCAGACCGCATTTGTTTGTTTTTGTGTTTATGTGGTTGCTCACTGTTTAAAATTAACCAGAAATTGAAATTTGGTAGGTTATTGGGTGAGAAAAATACAATGCAATGCATTTGAGAAACACAAAATCACAGTCTTTCTTTCTGATATTTGATAATCTCCTCACCTCTCTGGTTGTTCAGTGTGCCCTGTGAAAAATTGAAAATTGCCCAAATGTCAAGGTTAAGATGTACATTTGACTTGTTATGGTGGAAATGCAGTCAATGTATTGTTATATGGTTGGCATCAATGTCTTACAAAAAGGCAAGGCAGTGGAACTAATATATATATATATATATATTAGTGCTGTCAAAATTATCGCGTTAACGGCGGTAATTAATTTTTTGAATTAATTGCGTTAAAATATTTAACGCATTTAACGCATGTGCAGAATGGCCCGCCCCATACGTGCCACCAGTGGCAGCGCCAGGGTATGGCTGGGGTAGGCTACACCCATACCAAGAAATGGCTTAGCCCCACCATGAAAAATGATGTTAAAGTAAGCAAAATAAAGTCTGCCAACTCGCGCGGAGTAAATTGCACAGACAGCAGTTAGTAAGATTGATTTCAGTAACCACGGTTTTGAAAACTTTTGTCACGTAGTGATCGTCTTCTCAATAGAACATCTTTGATAACGGCGTGGTGTTGTTGCAGGAAGTCCCGACGGAGAATACTTTTGCTGTAGTACAGGGGTGCACATAACTGGTACGCAGGTTATGTGCGTAATCTCTCTGAAATGCGTACCGTCACTTGTGTCACAAAGCGCATTTGCGTACCGACGTACTTGTGAAGCTTTTCCAGAAGGCGGTTAGATCACCGGACGACAGAGTCGGTCTCCGTGTGCACAGACAGGGCTGCTGTTAACGTCGGTCTGTACAACGGAATTGTGCCAAAACTACGCCAACCGGCTACGGAGGGAGACTCCCCTCCCCTCCCACTGGAGAACTGCGCTAAAACAGCTGATCACAACGTTCACACTCTGTGGTCACGAAGTACTCCACTAGCCGCCGCCCCCCGTCGACTTTCCTGAAGTACTCCCCCGTTGATAGAAATCAACACGTAATGAATTAAGACCCCACGGTTTGATGATTGATAGGTGTGTGGGTTGTCTTTCATTTTGACACGCAGAAAAATGTTATAATAAACATAGATACTGTATGTTAAATGGATATATCCGCCTTCTTTCATTTATCTTTCCATTCCCACAACAATATGCATAAATAAATGGCATATTTTGGACATAGTTCGAATGGTGATTAATCATGATTAATTAATTTTTAAACTGTGATTAATCTGATTAAAGATTTTAATCGTTTGACAGCCCTAATATATATATGACTCAAAGCATTCATTTTGGAAACCTTTTTTAAAGAATTGTACTTTATGCCTCCTGTGTGCCATGTCCAAGGTTAAGGTTACGGGCCTTGTAATCATTAATACCCAGAGTTTCTAGAGCAGTAAGACATTAAGTACTCTTTCACCTCTCCTCTCAATTTAACACCTAAACTAACATGGGCGTATTCAAACATATGTGTGCACACACATTGGCAGTCACAGAAACCAAACATTTCTATTGACACCCACACACATAACTATCTGCCAGAGGCAACCAAAAACATGGCGTGCATTCATTGTTGGAATATATAGTATCTGTTAGGATCCTGGCAAGATGCTTTTGGTTTATGATTTAGCTTATGATTTGGTGAGGAACATTTCTGTTGCTTTGGAAAAACAAGGTGAGACATTTTACTATAAAAACAGGCAAGTACTTTAATCGAAAAAAACGAAAGTGGCCCATGTAATTAGTTTTGGTTCCCACATTACATGTTTGTCTGTGAAATCATACTGTTTCTAAGATAAATAGGACCATATTTATATATTTAGTGGCATGGTAGGATATATTTAATATTGATTACTCGTTTGTGCTAATGGATTTGTTTTTAATTAAAATGGAACTGTCCTTAAATATTCTTTGGACAAAATAGTAGCTTACTGTTTGTCTTTTTTTACCACGGTTTGACCGACAGATAGTTACTGTAAATCCAGTCTTAACTGCTCACACTTCGCAGGTTGCAGCTTGTCAGACAGGAACACACCTCCACATGTTTTCACATACTGAATTATCTAAGGCAGACGTTCAGCCATAAACAACCAAGTCAAATACACACTGTACTTTTACTGATGAGAATGAGTATACTTTCCACACGGTGGTCAGCGTTGGACAGTCTTTGACAGGAAGTAGCATTGTACAGTGTGAGTAATTTGATATGTTTAAGGGTTTTGTCTCTGGGGAAGGGGCTTATTAATATATATATTGCAGTGCAATGATGACATTGTGTACAGCCAATGTAAAAAACATGATTACTTCATTGATGAATGGTACATTTTGCTCCGTTTTGTGTGGCGTGCACATAGCATGTCAGAGGAATTTGGAGGAATACAAAAGGAGCCCCTCTGTCTCAGGTCTGTTATCTGTTATATTTAACCTGCAGCTGTTTTAAAGAAGAAAAAAGAGAGTGAAGACAGCAATGGGTACAATGCGAGCCAGAAGCTATGTTTTTGATAAAGAGGAAATATTATCAGAGGGAAGAAACAAGAGAGCGCTGGAGGTTAACTCATCAGTCAGCTTGAAAACAAGTAAGTTGTGCACCTTCTGTCTTCATTGCTTGCAAGTTTTGAAAGCTTGACTCCATGTTTTTACGTGACTTTGAACGTGAGTATGTCAGATAAACACATTTTTAGAGGAAGAGAAAACATTGACTGAGGTAAACAATATAGCATGAACGCCTGGGAGTAGAACAGAAAAAACATGTTGATCAGCTTCTCTAAAGGTCTGGTTTGAGTTAAAAAGTGATTTTGCTGTCTCTCTCTCTCCCAGCTGTGAGGTTTTGGAAACTTTGACACACATATTGCCAGAATAAGGGCTGTTTTCTGCCCGAGAACACCGCTTAAAGTTTTGTAAAAGGTTACAACACAAGCCTGTGGGAATCTTTGACCGAATCATCTGCAGATCAGACATTTGCAAATAGAGCCTTTCTCTAACAAAGTGAGACAACATATTATGATATCTTATCAAGTAAACCCACTGGGCCAGGTAGTGGAACAGGCTACATAAAGACCAACTTAATAAAGTCCAGGTCAAGTCCAAAAAAAAGCTCCAGTTGAGTCCCAGTCAAGACCAAGTTAAAACTGCATCCAGAACAAGTTGAGTCCTGTTAAAGATAAAGATTAGGACTTAGGTATTTACACATCTTTGGAACACTACAGTAAATATTGTTACACACATCTACAATACTATCAAACATAACACCCACACATTAACTTTCACAGTCATTTATGTAGGATTTTATCTTTTTTTAAGTATATTCCCTTCTCTCTATATATCACAACTCTTCCCTCTTTTATTCAACCATTCAGAAAGAAATTGGCAATTAAAGGGACGTTGGGATTAAAGTGATTCACATTATGTGAAAAGCCCAATACATTTAAAATGGGATAACTCAAGCAGCTATAAAGTGGATTGTTTCAATTTGATTGTGAAATCACACTGGACAGGTTGATTATGCTTAGGCATGGAATTACTTAGTGCTGCTCAGGCATGCAAAGGTGAATGACTTGGCGCACCCTAAAGTGTGATTTAGGTTGATGTCATTTTCTCACAGTCATTCAATGTGTATGAGAACATCTTCAAAGTTGTTCAAATGTAGCATAATAATAATCTATTCCTTTGTGCTTGTCTTTACCTCAGGGTTTTCACAACCGAGATGGCCACCTTTGACAACACAATAACCAACCTCACCAACTTCAGTGACTTATACTGTCCCTTTCAAGAGGATTTTAAATATATTCTTCTTCCTGTCAGCTATTCCCTGGTCTTTGTAATCGGCCTCGCTCTGAACACCACAGCGTTGTATGTGATTGTGTTTCGCACAAAGCGCTGGAAGCCCTCCACCATCTACATGTTCAACCTGACGATGTGCGACACACTCTACATCCTCACTCTGCCCTTCCTCATCTATTACTATGCAGATGAGAACGACTGGCCCTTCAGTGAACCGTTCTGCAAGATCATACGCTTCCTGTTTTATGCAAACTTATATGGTACAGTGATGGCATGACACACACTCAGACAATACCAAAAAAGCTATCATTATAAAGTACAGTAGATGGCAGTATGATATACCAAAAGACAGTACAATAGTGTTAATTTAATACAGTGGAGATATGTGATGTAAGTTATCCAATACGACATCTACAATACAAATATACTATGCTTACACTAATGATATAGTATGATGTTTTATAATATCATCGGATACAAGAAGACATAAGGAAAAATAAGATATGACCTGCAGTGACAAAAAGTGTAGTCTATATCCTAATTTATAAACAGTGCAACGCAATGCAACTCAATTTGACACAGTACAGTATGGCACAATAAGTAAAGGCACGTTTCACCTTACCAAATGCCACACTAGGCTACGCAATACTATGACTACAACTCACAGTAGAATACAATATGCTAAACTAGGCCTGACTAAACTCGGCTGACAGCTTAGCATACAGATGATATGGTCACACAGGCCTACAAAATCAAGCAACACACAATGATACAATATAATATGTTGCCAAACAATACAGTGTGAAACAATACAATATAACATACTAATATAATTTACAAAAATAACAATACACTAATAATATGACAGGATATCAGACAACAAGATGTCATATACTAAGAAGACATTTTTAAGAATACAACAGTTATTGTGACATACAATTCAAATCCAACAGATAAACAATTTGATATATAAATATGATACAACATAATCCAATTGTATGTAAAAAGATCTGACCTAAACATAATGAAACACAACTTGATATGACACAACACAATATGTAACATTACTACTCTACTCAAGTCGTTAACATTATATCATGAAGAGTGTACACACAAAATACTAACAGGCATCAACAATGACAACTTTATAGGTTCAGAAAGAATCCATGCAGTATGAAAAAGAGTGTATTAAATATGTATTCACCTTGCAGGTTCCATTCTGTTCCTGTGCTGTATTAGTCTGCATCGCTTCGTTGGCATCTGCTATCCGGTGCGCTCCCTCAACTGGGTCAGCGCTCGCCAGGCCAAGCTGGTGTCTGTGGCCGTGTGGGCCTGTGTCTTATTCTGCCAGGCACCTATTCTCTACTTCTCAAGAACTAGGTGATTTTGATTGGTCTTTCTTTTTTTTATTGATATATTTCTTAATTCCCTACCAATAGTTAAATCCCTCTTAGTTGTATTTAGTGTGGGACTATTGATTTTTGTGTCACAGTAAGTAACTTATGGAACCTTATTGGGCACCAACCTGAGAGCTAACAAATTGACTTAATCTCTCCTTTCTTCTGTTATTCCCACTCTCCCAGGTCTTTTTTTTGGTTCAATGCTAAATAAGGCAGAACTACAGTTTAATAAATCTAATTAAATTGAAATATAATATTTATATCTTCTGTCAGGGATGTGGAGAATGAACGGATCTGCTATGACACCACCAGCCCAGAGCTTTTTGATGACTTCTTGGTATACAGCACAGCCGTGTCCGTGCTCATGTTTGCCCTGCCGTTCATGGTGGTGATGGTGTGCTATGGCCTCATGGTGCGGAAGCTTCTGGAGCCTGGCTGGGGGTCTGAAGGTGGCTCTCTGGGAGCACAACGCACCAAGCAGAAGTCAGTGAAAATGATCATCATCGTCTTGGCAGTGTTCATGCTCTGCTTCCTGCCTTTCCACCTCACCAGGAGTCTTTACTACTCATTTAGATACCTAAGGCAGGTCGATTCAACACAGGTGAGGACAAACACTTTTAGAATAAATGTGTTAAATGACTTTGGATGCTAAGTATATCTTGTTTTTATGTGTTCATCAGATCAGCTGTAGGTTGTTGGAAGCCTCCAGTGTGGCCTACAAAGTGACCAGACCTTTGGCCAGCGCCAACAGCTGTGTGGACCCCATCCTTTACTTTCTGGCTGGGCACGACGCCCGCAGTACCCTCAGCAAGAAAAAGCCGTCTTCATCTAAATCAAGAAGGGTGGGCCGAACCTTAACAACAGAACTCTGATCCTATGCGTGAAACAATTTTTGGAAGAAAGCTGAACATTGTCAGGACAACAATGACAGTTCTTATTGCAGGTTTCTTTTGGTTGACGCAGCACCACATCCACTGACACAGATTTCATTCAGATTTGCGTAACAAATAGAAATGCATGTTCAGATTTGACCAAATCAAATATGGGCAATACAGTTTTAAAGAATTTAACTTAACATCTAAGTTGTGTTGTTCATTTAATGGACTTAAACAGATATTTTGTGTTTGCTATGTCTGAAAAAGTATAGTGAGAGGAAGTAAATAAACTACACTGTGCTTTGCAGCTGTACATTTTTTAGTAAAGGTCCTACTGGACAACTGCTGCACCTGATGTTTTTGAATAGACAGAAGTGGGTTTACCTCTGCTCACCTTTCTTTTCACATATCAGACAAAGAACGTCAAAATAATGAGTCTGTGGCTTTTAAAATGAAGACGCAAAATGACTCACGCTTGTCAATGTGTTTGTAAATAGTTGGCGAAACAGCATGTCTCTTGAAGTGAGCATACAACTGGAAAAACAAGACTTTGATTATACTGTACGAGTTGCGATTTTTTTTTAGCGGATGTCAGTTTGTGTCCAAATATGAAGGAATTAAATAAATTGTGTTATTTAATGTATAGATTTTGACAAATGTGTGGTAATACATTTTTTTATAATTTGTCTAATGTACTATACTGAATTTGTTTAATATCCGTCATTTCATCTATTGAACACCATGCCACCACTAGAGGGTGACACTGTCTAACAAACAGGCAGGTCATTGCTCACAATGCTTTAGAACACATTTTGAGTTTTTATAGTCCATCATTTTCTTTCGCACATCTATACCTCACATATACCAACATCAGCCAACAGTAGATAACACATTAGTATACACCAGCAAGAACAACAAAGAAGATAGCATCTAAAATACACCTCTTCTTTATTTTAACAGTAAAAACATCATACAGAAAAAAAGTCATATTATAAATGCAATTCTACAAAGTTGATGAGATGAATGTGTTTTTTGAATCCTTCCTACCAGCAACACTTCAGCAATAATAGTCCTATAATAATAGTAATAAAAACAGAAAAAATGAAACTGCTGCAACCAATTCATATTCAGTCCATCCAGACATGTTGACATTCCTTGTAACAAATTAAGTTAATATGTAAATGAGTGGCCTCTATGATTATAGTAAACTCTTACAGCCATGAAGATGTAAACTGAAGCCAACTCGGCTGCATAACTTTGGTGTAACTCAACCACTAATCCTGCGCAGCCACTGGTTGGTTGATTTTATTAAACTGGAATAAAATATGATCGTGTTTCTTACAGTTATGACAATTGCATAACTTGAGTCTGGCTATGTGTACTGTATGAATGTGGTTGAGAACGTTTTAAAAGCTCATGACTAAAACATTGAAACTTTGCACTCAAATTGTGAAAAATCATATAGGTGCGGAAGCTATATGATGTTGATGAACCAGCAATTCAGCTTATATGCATGATGGTGGGACAGGTTTCATGCTTTTTTAATGATGGACTACAAGGGTCACTTATTGCTGCAGTGCAGTCGTCTCTTACCTTATACATAGTGTATGCTAAAATTATAAAAAGCTGTATGTCTTTTTTTACCCACCCATATTTACATATGTACATTCATTTACAAGTTCTATTCTACAAAGTAATATCTATCCATCTCGTTTTGTCAGTAGGAGTTCAGCTTCTTACTGCCGTTTGGGATGCAGTGATGTAAAAAGAAAAACATTGCTGTCATAAAGTATTAGTGGCCCACTCTGAGAGGAACTTTTGGCCCCTGATCACCTACTTGTGTCTAGTCTAAGAGCTTTAAAGTTGCAAACTGTCAAACTTTCACTGATCTCAGTGAGTGCATCTTCTGTTAAGACTACATTCATCTTTTTCAAATCCTATATGAGCAGAAGAAGAGGAGCTATTTTACTAAACTTATAATAAAACAATATTTAAAACAACAATATGGTGTTTAGTTTCATAACATTTTGTTCGTATAATACTTTCTGTAGTGCTCTTGAAGTCTTAAATCAAGTGTCTAACACTCGTAGTTTGTATGCTTGATAACAGACTACTTGGCTTAATATTTCCTCTCTTTTAAATGTAGTGTACACAGTTCAGCTTGTTTCAGACTCACTGATGTATTAGTCTTGTCTTTTGGTCAGTTAAGTATTCCACATTTTTGTCCTCTTCACACAAGTCTGTCTACATGCAATGTGTTTTACCCCTGTGTCCATTTCCTTCTCTGGAAACACAACTATAGTGGCTGAGAATGTGTTTTTCTTACGATCCAAAATGATCTTCTTTGTTTTTGTCTCTCATCCTTCCTTCTAGTGTCGGGAATTGACACTCTGGTATTTAAAAAGCTTCACTCTCCACTTTCCCTTGTCATTGGGAAAGTATAGTACACTTTTGTCGTCATGTAATAATAAATACAGTTTTTTTCTCCTCATATTATGTAGAAACAACTTATTTGAGCTTGAGGTGGTTCTTGGGGTTTCTTTTTGTCAGATTTCTAGAAACACCCTCCCTGCCAGCTGTCAAGTTGATGAGGTCATTTTCAGCGAGGTAGTGTTACATCTCTCTGTATCTTCATCTGAAACAGAGAGAGAATAAAAGGTTAAGGAGGTGGCAGGATGAGGAAATCAACGGCATAATAGGAGAAGGAGTGAAAGAGATTTTCAAGAGTAAGAAATAACATGCTTTTGAGCATTTTCATCCTTTGGTCTAATTCGAAGCATAAATTATTGTCTAATTTAAGGATATTTGTGTGTGACTGTAAGACTTAATAGATAGTTTTGACCACAGACAGGTCTACATGAGTACTGTAATAATTTGGATTCACAGAATGTTTGCACATGCGTTTGACCAGACAACAGGAAACTCATTTCCCAAATCATTTTAGAGACAATGATCATGCTGTGTATAATTTCCTTTCCCAGTAAAACAGACCACATCATTCGGTGCTGGCCACACAAATACATTAGATCAGATGCTTATGATCTTGCGCTACTTCACAGCACTGCAAGTCATAACAATTAGCTGCATACTGGGGAAAGAAATACTGAAGGAGAGGGGTGATTACGGTGAGTAAATGTAGGAAAGAAGCAAGAACAGAGAGAGTGTGCGCTGCAGGTTGTACCTCTGGATCCCAGATGATGAGGAGGAGAAGGACTTTCCTCCAAAAAGGGAGTTTTGTTGCTCCTGGGATGATTTCTTGGTTTCCAACGTGAGATGCTTCATCTCTGGGATCTGAGCGACTTGAAATCTATTCGTAAAGTCAAAGTTCTAAGTTTAAATATGTTTCATACTAAATGCTTTAATCTATAACAATGCATCATATTTAATAAAATGTGTTTAAAGAAAAATCTTTATCTTCAAAGTAACTGAAAACTATAACTCTAAATAAATGTGTTATGAATTACATATTTGCTTCTGAAATGTGGTTTGAATGTGAAAAAAAGTGCTGAAAAAGTGAAAAATACAAATGTAGAGTATTTGTATTGTCCTCACGTCAGTTGTGTGTTGTTTTGCGTGTGAAGTATTAGGACATGTCTCACCTTCCCACAGACAACACGGTCAGCTCTCCCTCCTTCCTCTCCTTCACTTCACTCCCTTCCACTTTGTCCTGTACAGTATTTGGCACAACAGCTTGTGAATGGTGGGTGTTGACAAACACCCCCCCAAGCAGGGGTCTCTTCTGCTGGTCGTATGATTTGTCCAGGGAGGGAACAATGAAGGTCTTGGCGGGCTTCAGGGGATCTTTAAGGGCACCCAGGGGTGGTATGAGGACAGCGGGCCACTTTCTCTGGGCGCAGCGGGTGCAGCGGTAGCCGTGTTTGGGGGCCAGGCCGGAGAGGCCAGAGATGGTGTGATGGTGGGACTGATGGGGGCACAGCTTGGGGAGGGAACAGAACTGGGACAGGGGAGACAGCATTGGGAACCTAGGGGGTAGAGAAAGAGAGGATGAAGAGGGGGTAAATAAATGATTGGTTGGACAACATTTACAAACATTTAAGTCTATTTTTTAGTCAAGACAAGAAGTTAATTTCTCTAAAAATTAAAATACTGAAATTAAAAAATAATTATAAGATGGTTGTAAGAGCAAATCATACTGATAATAGAGTATAATTAAAACCCTTAAGTGGCATACAAAAATGTATATTTAGTGTGGAGTTTGTGCTTTGTTTTAAAGTTGTTGTTGTTGTTGTTGTTGTTGTTGTTGTTGATGCAGAGTAAAAGCTTAATGCCATGATGACAAGCGAGTATGAAAACCTAAAAAGAATATCGAAACATTCAACTACACCTTTTAACAGATATTCTTTTTAAGTTTTCATGCAGCGGCTCGTCTGGTCTTCAACCTTCCTAAATTCTCCCACACCACACCACTCCTCCGCTCCCTTCACTGGCTTCCAGTAACTGCTAGAATCCACTTCAAGACACTGGTAGGCCTACTAGCGTACCATGCTGCATCCAGGACATGGTTAAACTATACACCCCAGCACGTGCACTCCGCTCTGCATCAGCCAAACAGCTCGCTGCACCCTCGCTGCGAGGGGGACCCAAGTTCCCATCAGCAAAAACACGTGGGTTTGCTATCCTGGCTCCAAAATGGTGGAATGAGCTCCCCATTGACATCAGGACAGCAGAAGGCTTACACACCTTCCGGGGGAGACTGAAAACTCATCTATTTCGACTCCACTTCGAGCAATAACATTACTAACAAAGCACTTATATACTGATAAAGGACTGGCTTATCTAAAGCTAGTTGAGCACTTGAAATGTTTGGCTCTATGAAACCTGATGTACTTATATGATTCTGTTTTCTTCAAGATTGTATCTTCTTGGTCGAATGCACTTATTGTAAGTCGCTTTGGATAAAAGCGTCAGCTAAATGCAATGTAATGTGAATGTAAAAATAATAATACACAAAATGGAAATAGAAATAGAAAATAAATTGTAGTTTGAAATTGTAACTTTTATATTTTTGGAACGTTCATTCAGGCCTCTTCAGTTGTTGTCTTTCTATTGTTTTTTGTGCAGAGAAAGGCATAGCAAAAGGGACAAAATGCAGCCGTGTGTCCCTGTGTTGCACTAGTTAGTGGGTGACCTGTAGTGACCCTCCCATCCCAAACACACACACACACACACACACACACACACACACACACACACACACACACACACACACACACACACACACACACACACACACACACACACACACACACACACACACACACACACACACACACACACACACACACACACACACACACACACACACACACACACACACAGAGGACCTGAGAGCTTTCCAGATTTCGGTGTGCATTTTGTGTGTGTGTGTGTGTGTGTCAGTGTCAGAATGTTCTCAAATCTAAAGCTCACATACAGCAGCAGCCCATCGAGCAGCAGCACAAAGCCAGATGCCTTCTTACTACTGCATATGTGGAACACACACACAAGTGTAAAATACCCATTCACATCTATATTAGTTAGAAGGGCAATTTGGAGTAGAACATGCCTCCTGTCCCCTAATG